GGCATCACAGCTAAAGTGCCCCCATTTTGGAAAACATTGCTCAAGTGTTATTGGTCACTTGAAGCTTAAAATAACATGGAAACCATATTGGAATTTGAATTGTTCACAGTATTTTTGGAGAGATAAAACTGCCCATGTCATTTCCAATGCATGCTAACACCTCATCTAACCCTCTCTATGCATCCTGACTCTCTCTCTCTCTTTTGGCTCTATGCCCACCTATGTCTGAATTTTATCATGTAACCTAATCAGTGTTCGAAAAATTGAACTGTCCTCAAAAATCGGCTAGGGCCTGGGTCTGAGTAATCGATGAACTGGCCTAACCAGTTAGGTCTTGGTCGGTTCAAAAAGTGTTAAAAAATTAAAAATACAAAGCAAATGATTAAACAAAGCACATCCAAATGAAGTTGAAAAATAGTGAAAAAAATGGATTTTAAAAAAACAATTTGTCCCCAGAGATATTTCTAAAATTCTATAAAAAAAAAAATGAAAAAATGTATGATTAAGTATTCTTGGCCAAAATACTTCTCAATGTTGGCTACAATGATAAAAAAACATTACAAACAAATCCCTTATTTTTTGGGATTTTATACATATTTTTTTTAAAATATCTAGCTGAACCACCAAGCCAGCCAAAACAAGATCGGCCAGTGCTCGGTTCTGGTTTGACCTGCTGGTTCCCAAGTTGGACCGGTGAACCGGTGAGGTTGCAAACACTAAACATTTGTTCTCAATTTTTTGAGTAATATTAAAATCATTGATCCATCACATCATTGGTGAAGCACTTAATCTTGATTTCTTTTCTGATCTTCGTTTCGATTTGTTCTGCTTGTATTGATCCTATTCGTCCTACTCTCTCATTTTTCAAATAGTCATGCTTGGTCTTTCACAACATCTCTCTCCTAATTATTAGAGACTAAAACGTGTGGAAAAATTCCATATTTTTTCATGAAAGAAGAATGGAATATGATGGATAATGCTGAAATGGTCAAATGAGAGTAGAACTCACAAGTTGGGATGCCAAAACCTAAATGAAAAGTCATGCCAGATGCTGAGAGGACCCTTCCAGGTCAAGACCTATCTTCTTTTATAGAGAGAGGGTACACGAATCATCGTTACCACTATCCAATTCTTATCCCAATTATTTGGGATCGGTTATATGAATCTTGTTTTATTGGTCCCCATTCTGGAGAAATGAGCAACGGCATGTTAGGTTGGCAGCTAGTATATAACACTTTTGGACACAATTTATATGAGTCCATGTAGAAATGAGCCGACTCTTAAAAAATCTATTTTTGAGATGGATTGTCAGACCCAATTTTTAAGTCAACGTAATCTCTAATATGGAGATCATGAATATTAAATAAATAAATAAACTTTTAAAAATAAAAATAATGATTTTATGAATAAAACATTTGGACCATTAGTTTCAAATGTTTTTTAGATGGAACGCCTATTTGCATCCATCTTTAAGATGGATGCTTTATACCTTGGGACCGCATATTGTAGAAATACGGTCCAGCACACATGAAACAATTTCCAACACTTTTTCCGCATCTATGTCATGAATCTTGATCCAATATAAACAAAACTTAAAAGTTCAAAATGTTTAGAAAACTTCGAAATCATCCTCTAAACAACAATTTCATAGTAAAAACTTCTTTCAGTATTATTAATGGGTGTATTAGGCTAAGACTTGATTTGAAGGGACCATCGAATCCAGTACCGATTAGTACCAATTCGACAAGGGCAATCTTGAGTCGAGCCGCCACTTTTTTAAACACGGTGAGATAAAGGTGTGACTATGCTGAACCCAAGTGCTAAACCCAAATACCAAAGAGTGTGTGCTAAAGAGAGATGGTGTACAAGAGAGAGAGACAATGCTAAAGAGTGTATGTATGAGAGAGAGACTATTTAAAGTATTTGTGTGTGTGAAAGATCATGCTTAAAGTCTGAGAGAGAGAGAGAGAGACTATTTAAAGTATTTGTGTGTGTGAAAGATCATGCTTAAAGTCTGTGAGAGAGAGAGAGAGAGAGAGAGAGAGAGAGAGAGAGAGAGAGAGTAGGATAAAAGGAGTAAAACTGAGATGAATGATTTGGGTTGTCAATGGAGCATTGCATTAATTTTTATGTAATGTCAAAGCCTAAGATTCTTGGAAAGAATCAAATGCATTTTATTATTACGAATTATGGAAGATTAATAAGACCCTAAGTAAACGTGAGTCATGCAGTAATGGATTGCAAATGATGTTTTTGGCAATTTAATAAATGTTGAGGCCTATTCTTGTCATTGCGTGATTTAAATAAATAAAGAAGGCACACTACTCCAACATGCTAACATGCTTAGCTCAACCAGCATTAGGTCGCCTGTACTTAGAACGCCACCCTAATTTATTAATTATTTTAAGAGAGAGATAGAGGTAACATTTTTAGAGAGAGGAGAGAGAAATAGATCTACATAATAGATAGAGAGAGAGAGTACAAATCGTATTGAATAACAAAAAAAAGAAAAGAGACAGAGATTAGGCAGTGCAAAACAAGCGAGAGAAATCAACTAAAAAATAAATGTTGAGGAGAGAGAAAATGGACATCAAATTGCAAGGAGAGGGAGATAGATCAGACAGCATATAAGAGTGAGAAAGAAGGAAGCAAATAAAAATGTAACTATGAAATAATGATGAGAGAGATTAGACATCAAATAACAAGAGAGTGTAAGATCAACTAAAAGCATGAATGGGTGATGAGAGAGAAACTTGAAATCAAATAAATAACAAAAGAGAAATTAGATAGAGGGAAACGTTTACATAACGGTGGGGCCTTAAACAATCAAATTAAGACGCACCTCAAAAATCTAATAAAAAAAGATGTTTTGATGTTGAAAAACTTTAATTCGATCATCTTGACCTCAAGATGCATGAATATGATAAAAATAGATTTCAAATATTGAAAACATTGGATCTTGTAATGTTTTATCCAGACTATCAAGTCTAAGATTTTCAAGTGGTCATGGATCTGTTTGATTTACAATATTTTTAAATTTTTAAATTTTATAATTAGATATGAAAATAAGTTTTCAAGTCATCACAAAGATGTGTGATACTGAACCTACATATTTCAATGCTATTTGAAGGTGCGGCTTATGTCTGATGCAAAACCTACATATTTCAATACTATTTGAAGGTGCGGCTTATGTCTGATGCAAAACCTACATATTTCAATACTATTTGAAGGTGCGTTTTACTTTGACTGTTTAGGGCTTCAACACTATACAAACCATACCATTAGATAAACATGGAAACAAAAAAAATGTCAAAAAAGAGTGATGAAAGAGAGCTTAGACGTCAAAGAACAAGAGAGAGAATGCAAGAGAGAGTGAGGGATCAACTAACACAAAAAAGGTGATTTAAACATCAAATAACAAGAGAGAAATAGACATCACATATTGTGAGAACCAAAAGATACAAATAGAAAACATAATTAGGGGTGAGGTTTTTATAGGGTTGAGGCCTTAAACAATCAAAGTAAGGGGCGACTATAAATAGTATCAAAAGATGTCATTTCAGTGCCAAAATTTGTTATGATAGCCTGAAAATTTATTTTCATATCTAATTATAAAATTTAAAGCTTCAAAAATAGTGTACATCAAATAGATCTATGAACTCTTGAAAATCATAAACATTGGCGGTCTCGATAATACAGTACAAGATACACTATCTTCAAGATTCAAAGTCCATTTTTTTTTTTTTTTTCTGTCTATGTAGCTCAATGTCAAGATGATTGGATTTGAGGGATTTTGGCATCGAAACTTCTTTTTCTAGTGAATTTTTGAGGTGCGTCGTAGTTTGATTATTTAGAGCCTCAAACGCATATAAATTTTTTCCATTGAAGAATAATGATTAGAGAGAAATTATACATCAATAACACTAGAGAGAGTGAAATCAATAAAAACATCAATAAGGTGATGAGAGAGAAATTTTACATGATAGAGAGACACATCAAAAAGAGTGAGAAGCAAGAAAAATAAAATTTTTAGTAGGAAATAGCAATGAGTAATTAGAAATCAAAGATCAATCTTGAGAAGGGCTAGAGAGAGAAATAGAGGGGATAGAAAGAGAAAGAGAGATAAAATTAAAATATTAAAAAATATGAGTGATATGGTTCTCTCAAAAACCTCCAAAAGAATAACGGTAAAAGATTCAAACCCTGAACCTGTAATGGAAAGCAGGACAAAGCAAGGAATAGTTAGAAGAAGACTTAGTTAGAGAGAGATGGGACAAAGCAAAGAATAGTTAGAAGAAGACTTAGTTAGAGAGAGAAAGAGAGAGATGGTTTGGTTTTAGCCATTTTCTCTCTCTAGAGCACGACCTCGTGATGTCCGAACCCTCTGATGAAACTATTCTCCACCGTCCGATCTTGGGGCCCTACCAAGTCTCACTTGCTTACACGTGCTTCGCTGTTTGCTTTCCGCTGTTACCTTTGCTTCCATGCATGGATTTCTCTATCCTTTCTCTCTCTAGAACTCTCTCTCTCTCTCTCATCTTTCTTAATTTGCTCTTCTCTCTATATTTGCCAATTAAATTCTCCATGATCGTCATCGAACCAACTTACCCCAAGTCCTCTTTCTCTCTCTTCCCAATAGTCTCTTTCTCTCTCTTGGCTTTCTCTCTCTAGACTCTATTTTCTCTCTCTAGCCCCTCTCTCACATCATCGTCATAAACCAAATATAAACATTTTCTCTCTTGGCTTCCCTCGCTTGCGATTTGCTTCTTCGATATCATCATTGTCTTGATCTATTTTTAAATTACTCTTTCTCTCTCCTCTTTCTCTCTCTTAACTCCTATTCTTTCGCGTATCTTCTCCTCTCTCTCTCTCTTCCCAGGATCGGCAACAACCCAAATTAACGAATCACTCCCTCTCTCCTCTCTCTTAATCTTCCTCTCTCTTAATCTTTCTCTCTCCTCTCTCCTCTCTCTTAATCTTCCTCTCTCTTAATCTTTCTCTCTCCTCTCTCTTAATCTTTATCTCCTCTCTCTTCTCTCTCTTTGCTTTGCTTCTCTTCTTCTCTGTCATCATATCAACAACAACCCAAATTGGTGAGTTGCCCATTCTCCTCTTCTTCCTACTCTCTCTTAATCTTCTCTCTCTTACTTTCTCTCTCTACCCATTTACTTATTCTCTCTCATCATCATCATCAACCACCCGAAAATCACCCATTCTTAATTTGCGTCCCACCACAGAAGAAGAAAACCAGATCTGTTTGTTCAGAAGCCCGGTATCGGATTTGGGTACTTCTCTGAACCTCTCGAAATCCTCAATTCCGCCATTGTTTTGTATAGAGAGAAAGGTGGAGAGGTTGTAGAGGGAGAGAGAGAAGCAAGGCAAGAGCATCTGTTGCTTTAGCTCGGATTGCTTGCTCTCAGAGAGAGCTCCAAAGCTTCTTACTTCACTTCAAATCCTCCTATTCGCATCTTGGGTCCTCCTCCTCTTCCTTGCAGAGAGAGAAAATCTTGCTTCTATAGAGAGAAAAGGACTTTCTGATTCTTGGGCCATGGAGGAAGAGCAAGAATACAGGCATTCCTGCAAGTTTTGCAAGAAGAAATTCTCCTGTGGAAGGGCTCTCGGTGGTCACATGAGGTCCCATATGGCCGTGGCTGCTTCCTCTGAAACAGAGGAAAAGCCCACTCTCTCTCTACAAAAGACTCTCTCTCCACAAAAGAAGAAGACCGCGAACTCTTCATCTGAGTGCATGGCCCTTGACCACCCTGGTTATGGCTTGAGAGAGAACCCAAAGAAGACATGGCGAATCTCTGATTCCGATGAGTTCTTATGCGGAGACACGAGGTTTTGCAAGAACTGCGGAAAGGGTTTTCATTCATGGAAAGCTCTCTTTGGTCACATGAGGTGTCACAGAGAGAAATGGTCAGAGTCCATTGAGAACAATTCATGGAGCTTGGTTCCTCTAGAGAGAGAGAACCAACAAGTTCTTGATAGCCAATCCGACAACGAAGGAGCTCCGAAGAAGCGGCGATCGAGAAGAACCAGGTACTCTTCTTCTTCTTCTTATGCACCCCTCTCTACTCTGAATGCTTCTTCCTGTGCATCTGAAACTGAGCATGAGCAAGAAGCCATAGCCATGTGTCTCATGATGCTCTCTAGGGATGTGGGTTCAGCTAGAGATGGAGTTTTAGACTTCTCTGAGGTGAATTCTCTCTCTAGAAGTGCTAGATCAGGGTTAGAGAACAAGAACATAAGGGGAATTAGGCCTGGTATCGAATCTATCACTGACCAGAAGCTCGTTAATGGTGGTTTGGGCTCTGATCATGCATCGAAAAAAGCTGAATTTGATGGTTCAGAGAGTAAGAAGCCTGAATTCTCTAGCACTGATAGTGGGTTTGTCAAAGAAGAGTGGAAGAAGAAGACTGAATTCAATGGTTTCAATAATAGGTTCTTGAAAATTGAGGCGGAGAAGCAAAAATCAGATGAATCAGAAACTCTGTTTGTGAAAGGTGACACTGAATTGGGGGCTGATTCTAGTACGAGAACAAGGAATGGAGTTTCGAGGTTAATTGAGAAGGATTCTAGAGAGAAAAACCGATATGGTGAACTAAACGGGGAGCTGGGAAAGCATTCTAGGGAAAGGAGAAGGCACAGTCGAATCGACACTGAGTTGGGGGTCGGTTCTAGTAAGAGAAACAGGCATGGTCGATCTGGTATAGAGTTGGGCAAGAATTCTAGTGAAAGAAATGGATGCCATCAGTTTGAAACAGAGCTCGGGAAGGCTTCTAGTGAGAGAAACAGGGATGATCAGTTTGTCGATGATTTAGTTCAGGAATCTAGTGAGAGAAACATGTACAATCGACAAGAAGATTCGAGTTCAGTGAAAGTTCATCAGACTCACAAGAAGGGGAAATATGAGTGTACGACTTGTAACAAGAGTTTCCACTCTTATCAGGCTCTAGGCGGCCATAGAGCAAGCCATAAGAAGGTCAAGGGGTGCTTCGCTAGAATTGATGGCAGTGATAATAGCACGGAGACTGAGGTCTCTCCTGATCAGAGACCATCAATGCCTGATGAGAAGCTCAAGCCTTACAGACTTGTGAACCTAATGGAAGGAGAAGGGAGTGGTGAGACTAATTGTGGGCCTAGTAAAAGTAAGATTCATGAATGCCCAATTTGTTTCAGGGTTTTCACATCGGGCCAAGCTTTAGGGGGCCACAAGAGGTCTCACATGGCCTCTGAAGCTAGTAAGGCAGCAATTATTCAACAGCAAATGCCTGTGGTTTCGGAGCTTCTCGATCTCAACTTGCCTGCTCCAATGGAGGAAGATACTAATAGTAATACCAATGTCCACGTTGGGTCCAAGTCTTGGTGGACTAATGGCAATAATAAGATTGAAGAACCGCGTGAGGCTCAAATACTAACTGATCAGAGCAATGTTGTAAGTGCTAAGCATGCTAAGTTTCATAGCCTTAGCAGGCCTCCTAGGCCATGCCTGCAAGTCTAGAGCTCCAAAGGTTTGTGTTTCCTTGCCAAGTATGGAAAGATTTTTTGGGGTGGGTCTGTGTCGATTTCATTCGACGGGTTTCTTTGATTTGGGCCAATAAAGCAAGGACACCATTACTTGAGCTCCAAAGGTTTCTGATTCATTACCATTTATGGTAAGGCTCTTGGGGTTTTGAATGTTTTCCATTGATTGGGTTTCTTTGATTTGGGCCATTTAAGCAAGCGGTGATACTATTAGGTCAGCTATGAAATAAGATTCAAACTAAAAAAGTTAAAAAAAAGGGGCAAAAATTATGTTGTGCACGAGCTTCGTGAGGTGTGGCCTCGTGATGCTGGTTTGGGACTTGGGTTTACATCAGAAAGGAAGCGAAAAAGAGTGTACAGGAAGTTGATGGATTATTTTTCATTCATTCTTTTGTGGATTCAGGCTGGCTACCAGGTAACTGTGTTTGTTTCTCTCTGTTGCTTAAGCTTGTCATAGCAACTCTATCGGTTTTTCTCTTTGGTTTTTTCTTTTATTTTTTCCTTTTTTTTGCTTTTTCTTTCTGAGAATAAATTTCCTCGATGACCACATTGACAAGCTCTGTTTCATGAACTGTTAATGAAGCTCATGAGCTGTAATTGAAGCAACACATGTTTCCATTTTCACTTGTGACTACTATTCTTCTTCGTAGTAAACCTTTGACCCACCTAATGGTGGAATTTTTACAGTGAATTTTAACTAGGCTTATTCTTTTTAAGTCGTATCTTTCTTTTCCTTTTACCTCTTATCATTGATGAGGTGTATAATTCTTTCGCAATAGATTGGTTTTTTGGTGTGGGATGGTTGTTCGTTCTACCTACTTGCCCTGTTCTCTTTTGGACAAATTGATGTGCCAATAAGGTCCTGCCTAACTGCAGCTTACCCACACAAAAGAGAGAGAGAGAGAGGGTTGATGTTGAAGACTTCTGTTTCTTTCTAAACTCCCAGAAATCGGATGGCCCTTTTGCTTAGTTTCTCTGGATAAGATTGAAACAGTTGAATTTAGTCATATACTAGGCTTGTGCATGGTAAAATATATCCTTATTCAATCCTTAACAAACCATTTTTTTAAGAGCAGAAGTTTTTACTTAGGGCCAGTCTTGAGCCACATATGGATATTGTCATCTTAGAAGCCTAAAGCAGTTGAATCCGGTCCTTTAATTGTGTTTAGGAATGGTAGCTTTCACATGAAATGAGCTGTAGTGGGACCATATTTGCATGTTCAAGATTTAATATTATGGCAAGTCAACCATGACCCCACTGATGGCTGTAGTTATAGGGAGTTCGAGCCCGATTATTGACACTGGTTATCGAGTTAATTTTCTTTTTTTAGAATGATTTCTTTTGGGGAAGATAATTTTTTTGGTAAAATTAGTGTTATTTTTTAATATTTGTATGTATTAACTTATGTATAGATAATTTACTTTTGAGTTTAAATGAACTTGAGTTTTGCCACTCTGGTTTCAACCCTCAATTACCAGGAGTTACTCTGTTGTCCTACGAAGATGTAGCCATTTTAATTAATTGGAAAGAAAAAGCTCAATATTCTTATTTTGGGGAAACTATGGAAAATATAATTTACATTTACTGACCTTATTCTTTTATTTTTAATATTTGATAATGTTTTTCAAGGCATAATTCATCACAGTCATGATCTGAAAATATTTTCCATTGATTAGAAAAGAAAATTATCTTGACCGAAATATCTTGCTACAAAAAATAATGGGAAACTTAATGGCTACAATATCTTCAAACATCCAAAGTGGTGAAAAACCAGGAGCTCCTTGATCATTTCAATGAGCAAAAGCTATTTCAGTTGTTCCCTAAAGGCATAGGAGGCTCAGCTTTGTCTTCTTTTATGAACTCTTCTGTTGTTTTTATATACTTTTTAATTGAACAAAGGTGACCTATAGTCAGTATTTTGGTTTTGGGGTGAATTTTTTATGTGATAGAAGCATTTGGCTTTTGTAGAGGTTGCAGTTGCAGTAACAAAGCAGAGAGTTTTGGATTGGATTGCAATAATTGGGTTGTGTATAGAGCAAACAAGGATCATGGTGGAATGTATTTTTATATACATGGGAGCATGTGATATCCCCAAGATGTGCTGTTCATGTACCAACCAAAGCACCTTTTATAACATGACAGCCCATCTCTCTTATGTGAACACTCACTTTTCTCTTTTGTTTTTGCTTCTTTAACTTCCATTGCTTGAGCTCACTGTGCTTTGCTTTAAATGCAAGCATACAAACTCTTAGCTTCTCCCCTAATTTATCACACTAATCACCAAATTGGGTGCCCAAATTTTTATACATTTTTGGATTTTAACCTGTGTAGGACTCTGCTAATGCCCCGGGCCCGACTTGTCTCAGACAGATTGAGTCTGTTAGAGACTCAGCCTAGTCCAAAGTTCCAAACTAAAACATAATAATAATAAAATACCAGGAACCAGCCAAACTCGGCTGGCTCCCATAATTTGGTTCCGAATCAGACTCCCTGAGTTTTTCAAAACCGATTTTAACGAAATACCATGTTTGGTAACCACGAATTCACAATATCTAACATCATCTTCCTCTTTTGTATTTACCCAAAAAAATCTTCCTCTTTTGTTGTTCTTTTTCTTTTAAGGTAACCCTTGTTATGCCATGTTAAAATGGTTATTTTTTCTTTTTCTTTTTTCTGAATGTTAATATGCCAATTTGTCTTCGTCATCGCTTTTTTTTTTCAACATGTTTATCCATCCATCCATCATCATTATTGTTGTCGTCAACATCATCTTATTTTTCGTATTCTTCTCCTCCTCTGTGAATGGTTTTGTTTCTATGTTGCACCATGCCTGCATACCCATTATCATTGCCGTCGTCTTCTTCTTCTTGTATCAGTGTTGTCGCCATGAGAAATGTTGGGTCCATGAGGCCTTCATATTCTTTGTTCTTTCACTATTGACATTAGTTTGTAAAATTATGGTAAGGGAATTTAACAAAATACAACTATCATCTATTTTAACACTTTACCTATTTTTAACTATTCCAATCATGATTATGTATATTTTGATGGGATTTTTAAAATTAAATTAAAAGCTGTAGGTAAACTGTTAAGTATTTCATCTCTTAGGTGCACTTTCATCATCGTCATCGTCATCGTCAAAGCTTTTTCCAACTAATTGGAATTGGCTATCTTAGGTGTGCTTTGATAAATTTAATTTCCCTCCGAATAATCACACTTCCTCCATACAAAACATAAAATAAAATAAAAATAATTCTATGAAGAGTTAGCACTTCCTTTGTTGGAACTGGTACCTTCACCGCAAACAAGAATCAGGACATTTTTAACTTAGATATCTTCATTACTGGGTCAAAATCAAATATAGAAAAAACAACATAAAACATAAAAAAATAAAAAATAAAACATGACCCAAGTTGGGCCCTGTGAAGATAAAACATGACCCAAGTTGGGCCTTTTTCTTCATATTAGACAGAAAAAAACCCCAACAAGTCAATCAGAGACAAAATGTGTGTGTGCATGCACGTATATGTGAAGATAGATGGCAAGGTTTTTTAAATTTTACAACAGAGAAAGAGGGTTGCAAATTATTAAAAGGATGAGGTTTATATAAGGTCTAGGCTTTATGAAAATAAAATAAAGTCTCACTTCAAATCCTCAACAAGACTATTTTTGACGATTGATATCTCTATAATGGCTCTAAAATCAATTTCCAATACCAACAATAAAATTTGAAACTCAAAAAGTGGTACAAAAATTGTGAACATATGGACACTCATTTTTTTAAGGTAAAATAAACAGTCTAAATAACTTGATGCAATATAAACTAATTTTAGAGCTTGAAATTCTAATTGATTTTTACAACCGTCACGTCGAAGTCGAGACGATCGATGTAAAGGTTTTGTAATGCTTGACATGCAATTTTTTTATAAATTTTGAGGTAAGGATTTACTCGTTTTTTTATAGGGCTGCCGCCCTATCAAACCATATTCCTTTAAAATTTGAGGTGAGAAGGAGAGGGGGGAGACGAAAAAGGTTCGGAAATGACTTATATTTTGGAAATGATAAAAAGGTACGGTTATTTGGGTAACATTGGGAAAGGTATAAAGAAAACCAGAAAAGTCCTCACACAAGGACAATGAGACCCTGAATCATGTGTCTTGACTTGAAAGAACTACAAACCCTTGCAGCATCATTGTTGCTTAAAGGATTTCTTTCCTATCATCTCCCTCTTCAACTCTCTCTCTCACTCTAGCTGCCCAAATATCAAATGGAGGGCTCAGATTTCTCCAAATAAAAAAGGTTATTTCACCTAAAATGAATTCAAACCGTTGGTTCAATCGATCTATCACTATGTTGGATCATGCACAAAGCATTCAATCAAACATGCTTCAAGCTTACTCTTTTCATTTTCCTTTCTAGTGAGTCATATGTTGTTCAATAAGAAAATTGAATCAAATGTATTCCCTGTTTTTACTTTTTCTAGAGGTGTCTTATTGTTTGACTTTGAATGGTTAGAAGTGAGTTGACAACAATGTCACAAATTAATTGTAGCATAATAAACATAACAAGCTTCGACCTGTGACATTATTCTCAGTTCACTCTTAGTCGTTTGTTCAAGATCAAATAGTTGTTAGCCTCTAGATCAGTGATTTTAAAAAACTCGGTTTGCACAAAACCTCCCGGTCCGACTAAGGAATCGGTTACCCAACTGTTGTTCTGTGTAAATATATAAAAACAGTTGAGTTTAGAAGGGAACTGGTGGTTTCGCACAGTAAAATGGCAATTCTCTATAGTAAAACAATGATTTGGATCGTCGATTCACCGGTCCAAACTGGTTTTTGGCGAGTTGATTGTTTTTCCCATGTTTTTCACCAATTCATCATTTTTTCCACACAGTAAAACTGTAATTCAGACTGCCGATTCACTAATTTGGACCGATTTTTGAGGTACCTGATCCAAGTCACCAATCCGTTTTTTAAATCACTGCTTTAGATACATAAACTTTGTCTATGGAATACAAATATTTTCACATTATACTTTAAGTTACCTTTGAAATGTCATCCAAATGTGGTCAAATATTATGGCCCTAAATAATTTTAGCCTAAATAATTTTTTACATATTTCAGTTGATTTTTACTTTTTCTTTTTCCCAATGATGAAATATGATACATAAATCCAATGAAAATTGATTATATGTTTTGCCCAAATTCACTGAAATTTATGACCATGGTTCTTGGCATCATGGATATGCTAAGACAATTCATTTAGGAAATACTATTTAAGTGAAAGACTCCATTTATATGGTTTCCTAAAAAGGAAGTAGTCCAAAATAAGCCCTGATTCTTCTCCCATGCACAAAAGAGGGGGCCCACTTACATCTTTGGATGCCTTCTTTATATGAAAGTTCCCACAATGGGGGTATCAAGAAGGGAAAGATGGAGGGGAATAAGGAACCCTCCTCTTTACTAGATTCATTTGCAAAGGTCTGGTTTAGTCCGACCCTGACCCGGTGCCTTGTGCTTGCGCGCACACACACATATGTTGATTGATTGGAAAAAAAAACATAGAGCTTTGTCGTCCCCATTTTCTTTTTGAGAAAGCATATAGTGAGACAATTTATCTTTGGTACAAGGTGGTCACAATTGATCTCGACCATTGGATGTAAAATTTAGTGGCTATATTTATTTCATTGACCAAACTCAAAGTTTCAAACCAATTTTCTCGAACTTTGTGGCACAACCAAGCTATCATATTTTCACATCAGATGGTTATAAACAATTGTGACATCCATGTATCAAAGGTAAAATGGTCTCATTTTGTGCAATCCCTTTTTTTTTTTCTATACTAGGTCTATATTTTAGGGTTTTTGTGTACACATTCTCTTGGCCTTAGCAGATGTCGCCACGAAAAGAAAATTGAAAAGAGAAAAAAAAAGTCTAAAGGATGGTTTTTTGAGGAGAGAGACAATAGGGCACCGTTAGTTGCGTATAGGGAATCAGTAGATCTACAGTACGATGCATTCAAGATTAACTTATTTTTGTCTTTTTTTTACTTTTTTGAGTTTATGTATTTAGTACTTTTGGATAGCCGACCCTAAATAGTTAGAAAAACATTTTTGATGATGACGTTGTTTATCTAGTATTTTTGGCATTGCCCCCAAATTAAAAAACGTGGGGTGGTAGTAAGGGTGGCGAACTTAGGGGAAGGCTAATATATATTTATATACATCAAGGTCGGATCAACCCCGATCTAGATAAATCTAAGGTAAACCTGAACCTAATTGTGTTCAGATCTATTAGACCTAGACTTGACCCACTGGATCCACTCTAAAGGTCCATACAACAATCAGGATAGGTTGACCTGACCCAATTACCTGCCCCATCTACCAACACATCCATGTCACCATGTAAGCTTTAGCCAATATGTAGAAGAGCCTTTGAGGGTAAGATTACAGGAAAATATAATAGGCTATTCTTGTCATAGCAACTGAATTTACATCTACGGATTGTGTTGCAGCAAAGCATGATTTATAACTATAGTAAAATTGCGACCTCTCGTGTGCAGAAGGGGGCAAAATGGGTTGTACCCCCACAAGAATGTTTTAAACTGAACTTTGATGGTAGCTCTTTAGAAAATCATAGATTAATTGATACTAGTGGAGTGAATAAAAGTTATATAAGTGAAACCCTATGCTTATTTCCAGGGCTTTTATGGAATGGCTGCCGCGAAGCTGAGGCCAAAGTTTCCTACAAGGCCTCAAGCTGATGCAATCTTTCGAATTAAGTTAGTTCATAGGGATTCCGAGAATGTAATTAGATGGTGCAATAAGATAGTAGGCACCATGCCGATTGACCTCTTCTAATTACGGAAATCAAGGACATTGTAGTCCGAGACAATATTTGCTCACTCACTACTATAGAGAAGCTAATGGAAAAGCCCATACTTTAAGAATTGGGTTTGAGCTTGAATGATTAGTAATTGATGTCTAACAACGTTACATCTCAAGTTCAATTCCTACCACTGAACTACCCAAGAAAAAACACCGAGGGAGGCACATGCCTGAACAATTATGATAGTTAAATTGTTTACTTCCTAATTTTATCTTGTGAAGAAAAGGTTAGTGGTTCCACATATAAAATGATTGGGAGGCATCTTTTTTTTTTTGACTGTGACTCTTCCACTGGTCGTTGCTTTGTTTGTATTCATGTACATCTTCAAAAGAGATAATGGAAAATATTCAAGTTACTGTTTTTTAAAAAAAAAGACATGCATATTTCTCACTCTAAGGAGATATGCATTTATGCTATATGCATTAGAATAGGGCTGTAATGAATGACTCACTAAGCACTTGTGTGGTCCTAAGCCGGCTCTAAATGTCAATTTTTTTAGCACATGGGATGCAATAGATTGATGGAAAATTGTGACCTTCATACCGTAATTGGCACGCTAGTAAAAGTGGGACATAGGGGACCAAATTGTATATCTGATCTGGCAGGCACTTTCTTCCCATTTTATAAATCTCTCTTTGATTGCCCTTGTGATCTAGGTTTGAAAACCCACCTATCCAGATTGGGAATCAAGATGAACCGGTTCCAGCAAGTATCAAGAACAGGTCCGAGTCTATGTTGGATCGCTGGTTCTTGTTAGAGAATCAATGATCCTATCAATCAACCGGATGATCCAGACTGCCTAGATCTCCCCATTCCCACACTTTATAGTTTTTTTATTCTTTATTCTTTATTTGTCTTTGTTTACGATACAAATCAAAGAGTGGGAAAATTTTGTACCACAAACTGATTTTTTTATTGGGAAAATTTGATTTCTGATCTGAAGCCAGATCTACTAAAAATGAGTAGATTTGCTCTCAGATCAATGACAAAGTCAACGTATATAAAAAAAAAAAACGAAATATTGAATGAAATACGAATAAATCCTAAATCTAACAAAATAACTGAAAAAATAAAGAAAAAGATGATGAGAAATCCAAAAGCACGAAATATTGAATGAAATAATAATAAAATCCTAGATCTAACAAAATAACTGAAAAATAAAAGAAAAGAGGATGAGAAATCCAAAAGCACGAAATGTTGTATGAAATAAGAATAAAATCATAGGTCTAACAAAATAACTGAAAAATAAAAGAAAAGATGATGAGAAAAATATATAGCCGGGCCAATTGGCCCAATAAATCCAAGGCTTCGAGACCTCGCTCGTATCAGGACCGCGACAACTATGTTTATACCGAGGATCCTCTTTGTCTCTCTTCAATGTTGACCAAGCCTTGGCTTGGTTGAATGGTTATCTTGGATATGGTCTAAGCTTAAGGTTGCAGGTTTAATGGCTAGGTTTGGCTAGAACTTGTCTAGATCTAAGATCTTTCACGATTTTCTCTCTGGTCTCTCTAAGGCTCAGGTTTCTACAGGTTTAGGGTTTCCAGCTCTCTCTTAGCTCAAGATGGTATAACCCTAAAAGAAGCATGAAAATGTGTTTTTACAGACTAAAATGGGGAACATAGACTACAGTGTTATATGGTTAAGGGATTTTATGAAATAGTATGGTCTTAAGGGTTGTCTAAAGTTAAAAAAATAATAGATTTTGCCAGATTTTAAAAAATGTGTCTACCATTTTTCTAATTGTTTTTTTAATGGGCCGATTTTCAACCTAGAGAATAGGTTGGATCGCCAATCCGAATTGGCAATTTGGCAATCCAGACCTGTCTCTGGGATGACCGGGCCCATCTAGATTTTAAAACACTATTGTGATCATTAAAAAAAAAAAAAACAAACATTTGAGCACTTGAAAGATAGATACGATAGTCCATCAAGGTGAGCCCAAAATTAGTATTGGGAGAGGATAATGATTCGACCAAATTATTTGAGGTCTAAATCCGTTTTCTTTTTTTTTCTCAAGTGATATTAGATATTTTTTTACAGTGACCTTATAAACGAATATATAAAGTTGATTGGAGACTTTTGGAGTGAGCAAATTGGCCCTAACGTCAAGTTTCGACTGCAAGACCTACTATAGATCTTGTTAGGATTTAATAACTTGGATTTAATAATGTGTATAAAAAAATAAATGTATAATTTTCAGTAGTCTTTTTATTATCTTTATATATTTGTGTAGGGATAATTTGTGGTCTATATAAAATATATATTTATATATAAACCTTTTTAAGGTTTCATTCCTTGTTAATGAGAATTGATCGAAATTGTTTCTCTCTCTAGACCGTTTGTCAGTTTTTCATCTTCTCTAAGTCTAATATGGTATCAGAGCTACAAAGATTTGATCTCTTCTTTTTTGCTACTTATATATCACTTTCTTGTGAAGGTCAGTAATAAGATAAATTTTATTTTCATCCACGATTGGAGCATTCATCGATCTCTTAAATTTTCATTATAAATTTTTCCTTGCAAATTTGTAACTTTCGTTGCATCTGCAAAGTTTTGTTGCAAATTTTTGATAACTTGCATCATGATCGTTGTTTTCCTTCCTTTCAAATTTTTTGTTGCACCGTCGAACCTCTTTTGCAAACTTCTATTGCATCAATATCCCGTCGTCTCTTGCAAGCAATGCAACCTTCTGTTGTTTCCCTTACATTGACTTGAGATAATGCAAACATTGACTTGAGATAATGCAAACTTCTGTTACTTCCAAGCATTAATAACCCATCCTTTGCATTAACCTTCTGATCTTCCGCAGCACGCACCAAGATCTATTGGACACTGGTACCTACTCTTACAAAAAAAAAATTCTCTCTCTCTCTCTCTCTCTCTCGTCTCGTTTCTTACTATCAATTTCTCTCTCTAGAAAAGATCTTGTTAAATTTTTTTTTTTTCTTGTAGTATCTCAAATTAATTCCCATTGCTTCCTCCAATTGATCGCTTGTCCTTTGCTAATTTTTCTATAGAGCAACTTTATCTAATAAAGGTTATGCAATTATTAGAATCATAGACTTCATGTTATCCATTCTGGTAATACCAGTGTCCTTGGTCCATCTGGTAATTTTTTAGCATTGAAAGATGTTTATCATATTCCCAACTTTCATTTGAATTTAATATCGGTTGGCCAGTTAGTTGATAATAAGTGCCTTGTTTCTTTTTCTAATAAAAGTTGTGTGGTGCAAGATCTAGCAACAGGGAAAGTGATGAGGAGAGACATTAGGCAGGTCGGTTTTTCATAGTTAGTTTTAGTGAAGCTCATTTCCATCTTTCACAAGCTCTTCCAATTTGTCATCTTTCTCCTTTTTCTCATGAAATAAGTCAATCAAATTCTCTTTGGTATGTTTGGGATTGTAGGTTAGGACACCCACATTCTCAAAAAATGTTCTCTTTTAAACTCTAGGTTTTACCTGTTGTTTGTAAGAAATGCAAGTTGGCAAAACACTTGGCTCAACATTTTCTTCATAACAATAATAAAAGTATCCATCATTTCTCTTAAGTGAACTCTGATGTATGGGGTCCTGCTTATGTTCATTCAATTAATGGATTTTCTTATTATGTGATATTTATTGATGATTTTTTAAATATACTTGGATTTATTTTTTCAAACACAAGTTAAGTGTGTTTAGTATTTTTAAAGACTTTCATAATATGATAAAAAATCAATTTGAGAAAAACATTAAAGTTTTTAAGTCTGATTCTGAGGGGGAGTATCTATCTAATGAATTTCAAGCATATCTTTGTACAAATGACATTATTCATCAACGTTCATGTCCTCATACCCCAAAACAGAATGGAGTTGCTGAAAAAAAATATCTTCATATTCTTGAAACCATTCATTCTCTTCTTATTACCTTTCATTCCCCAAAGAACATTTGAGCTGAAGCGATGTCTACTGCTGTCTATCTTGTTTATCTTCTTCCTACACCGATTTTGCAAAATATGTCACTATTTCAAAAGCTTTTTAAAAAACCCCTGATTACTCACATTTACATGTGTTCGGGATGCTTTGTGCTTTTACCATCTTCTACCCGTGATAAACTCTCACCTAAGTCTGTCAAATACATGTTTGTAGGTTATCCAACAAATCAAAAAGGATATCGTTGTTTTGATCCTTCTGTCAAATATATTTTTCGAGCACATACCCTTCCACCAACACTGCCCATACCCTAATTCAAACACACATGGACCTAAATTTCATTTTTTTCCTAGTTTTAATATTCCTCCTCCTCATTATCATGAAAATTAGGGATTACCACAGTCAGTAACTAACTCTGATGAGTCGTCTTTGTTAAGTGTTGATCATGCATCACCTCCAGTCATTGATCCTTCTACCGATCCTGCTCACCTTCGGTGGTCACTTTAAAAGCCCATTTCACCTGATCGTCTTAACTTATTAATGGTTAGCCTATACTATACTTGTTCTCCTACAACCATTACTAATCCCTTGTTTCATGAGTCATCTTCTTATTCTCATGCATCTAACCTCCAATGTTGACGTATAGCTATGAATGAGGAAATTGTAACTTTAGAGGCAAATCACACTTGGGATTTGGTTACATTGCCCTCAGAAAAGCATGTCATTGGTAGTAAATGGGTTTATAAAGTCAACTTACAAGCTGATGGCACTCTTGATCGGCACAAGACCCAATTAGTTGCTCAAGGTTATGCCCAAGAGTATATCATCGATTATGATGAAACTTTTGCTCCAGTTGCAAAGATGACAACTATTCATACTTTTATTGCACTCGCATCTATTCGTGAGTGGCCCATATGACAGATGGATGTCAAAAATGCATTCTTTAATGACGAACTTCAAGAGGAAGTTTACATACGTCAACCACCTGGGTCTGTTTCTCAAGATAAGTCATTGGTCTGTCTACTTCGTCAAGCAATTTATGGTCTCAAACAAGCTCCCCGTGCGTAGTTTGAGCATTTTCGAGCGGTCATTCTTGCAACTGGCTTCACTCAAAGCAAACATGACCACTCCATATTTATTCGTACCACAAAGCATGAAATTTATATTATTTTATTATATGTTGATGATATTCTTATGTCTGACAATGATTTCACTTCCATCAAGGATGTAAAGCTACAATTGTAAGAAGAATTTCAAATGAAAGATCTTGGGGAAATATCTTATTTTCGTGGCCTTGAGATCTCTCACTCTAAACATGGTATTTACATCCATCAACAGAAGTATGCACTTGATCTTGTTTCTAGTGCCCGTTTGAATGATGCGAAGGTTGTTGATACACCTATGGAACTCAATGTTAAACTTTCTGCATATGTTGGAGATCCTCTTCTTAAGCCTACGATGTATCACAAACTCGTCGGCTCTCTCATCTATCTTACTATGACTTGCATAGATATTGTATATGTTGTTCATATTGTGAGTCAATTTATTTCAGATCCTCGACGACCATATTTATCAACAGTCCATCGAACTTTACGTTATGTTCGAGGTACTTCCATTCGTGGATTATTCTTTGACTCCACATCATCTTTAGATCTCAATGCATATGCAGATTGAGCAGGTGATTCAAATACTTGTCGTTCTACTGCGGGATATTGTGTATTTCTTGGGTCATCATTAATATCATGGAAGAACAAGAAACATAACAATATTTCCAAGTCAAGCACTGAACCTGAGTATCGTGCTATGTCCTCTGTTGCTAATAAGATTGTTTGAGTTCGTGCTCTTCTTAATGAGTTTGGTATCTCTATTGCAAATCCCACACCTTTATTTGCAGATAACCAAAGTGCGATTAAGATTGCAGCTAATCCAGTTTTTCATGAGGGAACAAAGCATATTAATGTAGATTGTCATTATCTTTGTGATCGCTATCTTGATGGTACATTATCTCTCCCTTATGTTTCTTCTACTGCGTAAACAGCTGATATTTTTATCAAATCTGTTACTCGAAGCCGTCATGATTTTCTAGTGGACAAGCTAATACTTTCCTCATGTCCGCATTAGCTTGAAGGGGGTAATAATGTGTATAAAAAAATAAATGTATAATTTTTAGTAGTCTTTTATTGTCATTGTATATTTATGTAGGAATAATTTGTGGTCTACACAAAATATGTATTTGTATATAAACATTTTTAGGATTTCATTCCTTGTTAATGAAAATTGATCGAGATTGTTTCTCTCTCTAGAATGTTCCTCAGCTTTTCATCTTCTCTAAATCTAATAGAATCACACCAACATCATGTATTTATCCAGCTCGAAATAAAATAAGAGAGAGCACGACCTATAATATGAGAAATAAAGCATGAAACACACACCACAAGAACACAAAGATTTACATGGTTCACCCTAAGAGGACTACATCTACGGGCACAACAAACTGAAATACACTATATCAATGAAAGTTACATCACAGATTTTGAGATAATTGTTATCTCTCTAACCCTCGACAAAACCCAATCGAGTAAACCATTTTAGATCCAGTCACCCAATCGACACGATTGTCGACCTCTCATCTCTGTTCCACAGCTAAACCATTATCCAGAAAGAGACCATTTCCATTGCACAACTAAGCTACTGTCTAGGAAGAGAACCTTGAGAGCAACCAAGACTTTTTTTCTCTAAAAAAAAAAATCACCCAAAATCTCTATAAGAACCGTTTTTCTACAAAAAACCCTCATCTCAATCACAATAGGCATATCTATGGTGTTTCTCTCCGCATGCAGCTCTCTTCTCTCTAAGGGGAGGCTTTACCAATGCAGATGAGGCCATGCTTCTCTCTCTCTCTAGAGGAAGTCACCCTTATGGTGACTCATACAAACTCTCTACACTTTCATCCCATATATATAAGGTTAGGAGTCCATACCAAATAGAAAACTTCTTATAGGTGTTACATAGATCTCAAGAACCAAGAAATATATCCTAAAATCTAATCTTTTTATATTTCTATTTCCTTTAGGAAACTTATCAATATCAATCTCAATCCCACATAATATGAGATTTCCTTAAGTAAATGATTTTGGATAATCACCATATCCAACATACCTGACCATAACTTACATGGTTTTGGTACACCCCGGTTCCTCCTGCAACAATGCGGCTACCTTCCAAAATCCTTCTTGGAGATTGTTTTTATCCTTATCCAAAACTTCCAAGGGTCTATCATCTCGGCCACTATGGTCATAAGTCCAAAAAGCATAAACTTTGAATGTTTCAAATTGTTTCTTATATTCATTTTTCTTTTGTTTTTTGGATATTCATTTGAATACTTCAAAGAGCCGACCCAAGTAGTTGGAAAAAAACTATGATGATGATGATGATTTTAATACTTCAAAGATCGGCACATTTACACATTTTTCGAGCTCCAAATCATGAACATGAAGCAGGAATAGATTTATAGTGATTACTAAGATATTTTGCATTCTATAACCTTGGAAAACAAGATGGATGTATAAATCAGACGCCAAAAACTTTTCATAACTTATATACCTTTTATATCTATAAGCCTAGCCAACCCCAAATAATTGAGAAAATACTATGATGATGATAATGATAATGATAATGATGATGTTATGCCCTTTATGTGTGTGTAGGGGAAAACTGCCAAAATAGTATGGAGTTATGTTCTATAATATTTTGGCTCTACTTCCCAACCATATCTTCATCCGACTATCGAGACTGCATGTTAGTCAAGAACTTCTAACTTTTTTTTTTTATTAATCAGTTTGGGCTGAAATTTTGAAGGTATTGTGTGACTCATCTCAATGCATCTATTATAAAAAAAAAAAATTCAGAATATAATAATCATAAGGAAAATTGTGTGGGCTGGACCGTATTTCTACATATGCGGTCTAAAAAGTGTAAAGCATCCATCTTAAAGTTAGGTGTTCTATCTAAAAACATTGGAAACTAACTGTCCAAATATTTTCTTACTACAATTATTATTTATACATTTATTTATTTATTCGTATTCATGATCTCTATGTCAGAGATTACATATCCTTAAAAATTAAGTCTCAAGATCCATCTTAAAAATAGATTTCTTAAGAGGCCTGCATTTCTACATATGCGGGTTTGGCCGCATAGAAATCGGGTCCTAATCATAATACTCTTACTACACTACAAGGATATTTTGGTGAGTATGAGACTTACAAAAATAAATATAAATACATAAACATTTTTAACCTCAAGCAATCGACCCCAAAAAATTGAGAAAAGTATTGGATGATGACAATTAGGTTTTATAAGGAGTTACTCATATTATGCAAAAGAGCTCCATAAAGCACGCAAGGACTTATATAGTCATTAGTTGCAACCACTTGCAATGTGCTCTATTGGATGAATTAATGCTTTGGTAGATGCCCATCCCTAATTCTAACTTGCTGGCGCCCTATGAAAATATGTGAAGGAACCTTGGCCACATGGATTCCAATTTTTGGGTGTGGTTTGTATAAGGTTGTAATTTTAAACAATTATAAGGCGTACATCAAAATTTTATCGTAAGATGAAATTTTAGTGTAAAAAATTCTTAGGATAGATTGAGAATCTATTTTCATCCTTAATCATAAAAGTTTAAACTTCAAAAATGATTCAAAACAAGTAGATCTATAAACACATGAAAATCTTGAAAATAGACAGTCTAGATAATATTTTACAAGATCCACTACTTTTGGGACTTGAATTTTATATTTTTTGTACATCTTGATATCGAGATGATCAATTAGATGGTTTTTCAACACCAAAAACAATCTTTTTCAATAGATTTTTTAGGTGCACCTTAATTCTACAATTTAAGATTGCAACCTTATTTGAACTTTTTCCATAGTAATTTTGTTGCATTAAGCCATTTTTATTTGAAGCCTATTCTATACATCTTTTGTTTTAAACCAGAAGTGCATATGTTTCAATTTCAACTTATTCTTTACGAGTGTGGTTTTGGTATGACCGCAATGTTGCGGCATTTGGTAAAGCCGTACCTTAAAACAGAGCTAAAATGTACACTTTCGGCAACAGAAAGTCATATGATGGGTTGCAAATCTTTTTTGTACCTGGTCATGGAATTTTAAGGTGAATAATGGTCTGATGTTTCAAACATCAAATTGACTAAAAAGTATAGAGCGGTCGCAATTCAACCGTGTACTAACATCGAACCGACTAAAACGTGTAGGGCGGTCATGGTTCGACCGTTTTAACATCAAACTGACTTATGAATATCAAAAAATAAAAAATAAAAAAATGGGGGAGCGAGGACCTTTGCATAAATACTGCATACTTTGGGACCAGACCGTAATAATGGTAAAAAATAATTATACATACGTAAATTTCCCTTAACATTTTATCTCTTATACTACTCCATCCCAAGATCCCATGTATTTTGATGGGTAAAATTGAATCAAAACATATGGGTATAATATCAAATAGTGAGTTTTTCCCTTTATTAAACGATCCCCATTGGTTGTTAATGTTGTTAGTGAGTGAATATGTAGAGGTGAATTTTCGAATATTTCCACTTAGGAGAATTTCCAATAGCTGGCCACACATTGCTATGAGTATATTTTTATAGGAAATATATAAGGTTGCAATCTTAAAATGTAGAATTAAGGTGTTCTTTAAAAATCTATCATATTGTTTTGATGTTGAAAAACCTTCTAATTGGTCATCTCAACATCGAGATGTATGAATATAAAAAGAAAAACCGATATCAAGTCCCAAAAATAGTATGTCTTGTGACATATTATCTGAACCATCCATTTTCAAGAATTTTATGCGTTCATAGATCGACTTGATTTGAACTATATTTGAAGTTTGAAATTTTATAATTAGACATAAAAATAGATTCTCAAGCCATCCTAAGAATTTTTTACACTAAAATTACATTTATGATAAAATTTGGAGGCACACCTTAGCTTGATTTTTTAAGGTTGAAACCTTATGCAAACCAAATCCATTTTTACATGAATATTTCTGGATCTACTTTGATTCACCCAGTGAACAATTTTTTTTAAAAAAATAAGTTTTAGCCATTATCAAACATCAGATTTATCTGTCTCTATAATGGATGGTCTAGAGTCAAGTTTGTTTAAAAAATTTATTGAGATTTTATTGAGTGTGAATACAAATTATTTTAAAAAATTCAGATTAAAACCCCCTTAGGTACCATGTATTTTGGGTAAGAGACCTTATGTTGATAATGGTCGTACCAAAAGAGTATATTTTTCCCTTTCAACAATCCATTTATCAATGTTATATGACCATTGGATGGCTACATTTATGCTGTTGACCAAACTTTTAACTTCAAAAAAATCTCAAAACTTTGTGACATATTCAAGTTATTGGATTTATAAGTAATTGTAAGCTCCTTGTCTAAATGTAAATAATAGGACTCAATCCATACTCTCTTCTTTATTGTGGACTAGAACCCACTCCTTTCTCTCTCACTATTATTTAAAACTTCAGAAAAACTATATAAATCATTATGTTATTTTGAAATACATCAAAGTATTTTTCAAAACCAAAAATACTATCAAATAAATGTTAAGAAACATTTTTCCTTTTTTTGAGAATCAGCATTTTTAGGTTGATTTGACGTTCCTAAGCCTTGTTTAAATATTTATAAGCATCTGAATTTTTATTTTTTATTTTTTAATAAGGTTGAGTCAGTGGAGACCATGTGTTGAATAAACCCATTCGATTAAAAATTGGTGGGTGACCGATTTGACCCACCTATCCGAATTTTAAAGCACTACCGCAAACCATGATCAATCATTGCAAAGAACACATAAAGCACAAAGAAATACATGAAGCATGAACATCCCTTGCAACAAAACATCTCAATCCTCAACCAATTCTCCATAACCAACAAAAATTGATACACAACTAAATCATTCTCTCTCACACTCACACACAGCAAAGGTTATCTC